GAATAGAATAAACCAGGATTAACAAATGTTAGCAAAAATAATTATTCACCTGAAAATTCCCACTGGACATTTATTATTTTCTATTCATTTGACCCACCATTTGAAAGTTTCTGTGATCCACCCTGGAAACAGAAAGAACACCATGTGACTTATAGCCATTGATTATTGACTATTTTTTGTGTCATGTGGTTTGATATTCACAAACATTTCATAGATTCATAGACTTTAAGGCCAGAAAAGACCATCATGATCATCTTGTCTGACCTCCTGGATATCTCAAGCCACAGAACCTCACTCACTCAATCCTGTAATAGACCCATAACCTCTGGCTAAATTATTGAAGTCCTCAGATCATAATTTAAAGACTTAAAGTTATAGAGAATACACTGTTTACTCTAGTTTAAACCAAAAGTGACCCGTGCCCCATGCTGCAGAGGAAGGTGAAAAACCCTCAGAGTCTCTGCCAAACTGATCTGCGGGGAAATTTCTTCCTGACCCCAAATATGGTAATCAGTTAAACCCTGAGCATATCAACGAGACAAACTGTAATCAGAATAGGATTAGTTCAAACAATTCAATTAATACTTAAAATAACTCATATATTTGACAGGTTTCAGAGTAGCAGTTGTGTTAGTATCTATTCGCAAAAAGAAAAGGAGGACTTGTGGCACCTTAGAGACTAACGAATTTATTTGAGCATAAGCTGAAGTGAGCTACAGCTCACTTCATCGGATGTATTTATTTGAGAAAATTGAAATGAAATGGCTTGTCTCAATTGTCAGAATCTGCCTGTCTGGAGACAAGCACTGTAATATATATAAAGCACTGAAATCCCCAAAAAAGAAAAATTATTCTTCCCTGCCATATTTGTGATTCAGTCTTCATGCCATGTAACTGAGCTCAAACCTGAGTTACAAAGGCAAGCTGATGCTGCTATTTCTTCTCTTCTCGCTGTTCCTTTTACCTCTGTTGTCAGAGGATTTCTGTTGAAAACATTGCCCCTGAACAGGAGCATGGCCAGGGATGGTGATAATGTTATCAAAAATAAAAAGTCCTCTCTGCTTTTCTGTTCTTATGCTCTAAAGCCCCATTCAGCAAACACATAAGAAAATTCTTAACTTTGAATATGTGAGTAGTCTCTCACTGAAGTCAAATAAGCACATGATGACATGTTTGCTGCAACACCACCTAAATACAGCAGGAATATCAAATTAAATATTGGCCATTTCATTCCATCATTTTCTTACATGTTGTTATGTGCCCTTTATGTTACAGAAGCAGGTTTTCTCCCACCCGTGGTCAGACTCTACTTGTCTGGAGGGAGTGTAACTAAATAAAACAGTGAAATCTTGAAAGAGAAAATTAATAGTTGTTGTTAATGAGACATAGTCCTCATTCTGAGTGTCTGATCAAACCTGAATTATGGGACCAAATTCTTGGAGCTACTTCTTCTTTGTTGTTCTTGCTTCTGTGCCCATTTCCACTGCGTTTATGGTCAGCCAGGACACAGTCTTGAAAATTAGCATGGTGTTGGTAAAAAGGTTTAGAAAACTATTGACGTATCTTGAGTCAGAAGAGCATTTAAGTGTGAATTTAAGTCCTCTTGATGTCAGTGGGACAGTTTTCTGAACTGAGATAATAAAGAGGAGCAAAACCTTTATACTCCTTCTATACTACTAAGTGTAGTAGATATATAAAAGGATGAGGCCTGTTTTACAGAGAAGAACTGAAGAGGAGAATAATATAGTGTGGTTCTGTGTGTATTAATTTCACAATTGCTTCACCATCATCATAATAGCTGTGGTCTCCAATGGCGGGACCAAACATGAAGACTCAACCCAAGATCCACTACTGCGTACTGTTCATCCTGGTTGGGGCAATGCAGACAAGTATCCCACGAATGTCACTAGGGATGATGTGCTGCATGGAATTATTCCTCCAAGTGAAAATGATCAGGAAAAGGAATCTTCTCATACAGGTACCAAAAAGAATAATTAATTATGCATGAGAATTTCAAAAGCACTCTGCATTGACCTAAATCTGCTCTCATTGAAATAAGTAGGAGTTTTACTATTTGACTAGAGAAGAGTTTACTATTTTACTATTTGACAAGAGAAGAGTTTGACCAATGCTGAATTCTTTTCAAAATCCCACCCTATAGTCCATTTACTCCCTATTTGGAAGGAATAACACTACTTCTACATCTGTGTAATTTCATTATGATACTCTATTGAAAGTCTATTGATAAAATTTGGTTTAGAGTGGTACTGTGATAATCATTAGCATGGAATCAGCTGTCTGAAATTTCCTAGGTTGTGATTTCTTGTTTGCATTTTTCTGAGGTGATGGATTGGGGTTTTTTCTGACTATGCTGATTAAAGCTTGCTGAATAATGAAAAATAAGATTCACACATAACTTATAGGTAAACGCGAAATCCCAAATGAGAAAATTATTGGTCACTGTCATATTAATGGTCAGTCCTCAAACTCAGTAACTGAGCTAAGACTTGGATTACAAAGGCAACTTGCGGCTGCTATATCTTTTCTTGCCATGACATCTATCTGTGTTATCAGCATGGATAAGTTCAGCCACATCATAGTGCCCAAACAGCAAGATGGTGTTGGTTAAAAGTTGAGAAAACCAATGATAATGTGGAGCAAAATAGAAGGTCTCTGCTTTCCTTCTCCTACAAACTTAATACAGTAGAAATATGAAACTGAATCCTGCCTCCAGATAATCAACCAGGATTGGGCAGTGAGGACAAATATCCTATAAATACCTCCAGGGATTATGTCATACCTGAAAATGAAAATGAGTCTTATACAGGAACCAGTAAGAATAATGAATTATATTCATTTTACCACCTTGTGTGTAATGAGACATTATTTCTTCTGCATACGATTTATTCACTCTCATACCTTGTTGGAAATCTAAATTCTCAGCAAAGAGGTGCATTGGTATATCTTTTTGACCTTATTGCATGGAAACAGGTGAACAAAAATTTTTATTTTTTAAATGTTCTTCTCTCTGTTTTTTTCTGGGTCTGTATATTGAACTTTCCTCTAGCTTTTTCTGTGTGCTGACTAGACCATATTGAATAGTGAAAATAAGATTCAAAAATGTATTTGTGAATCTGAGACTTGAATTGAATTTGATCGTATATTTTGCTTTCTCCTTATTCTGTGATGACTAGGGATTCACCTAAACCGGGGAAATCCCTAAATGTCTTGGCAGGTCAGGTTGCTAGACATATGTTGAACATAGAGCCTGGTAATTCCAAAATCCCATTTTTTTAATCCTATACTACCAGCAGCCTAAATATTTTCTGTCTCGTTGTGCTTTAATGACATTCTGATTTACGGAGATAAATTTGGTGAGGTGCTGCTGTATTTGTGAGCTTATCTGACTGCTTCTCCCATTGGCTGAGATCAGACCTGAGTTCTAGGGACAAGTAGATACTTCTGCTTTCCCTGCTCAGGCTTCCATGTCCATTATCATTAGGGTTCTGTTAAACCACAGTAATCCAACAGTATTGGTTGAAAAGGTGAGAAATGTGGATCAAAAGCATTCTGTGCTTCTCTCCTCTGATACTCTAAATACAGCAGAAATTTTAGAGCAAGGCCAGGCATAGAGGCAAACACTGAAGATGAGACTAACGTGGCTAGTGCTTTTGCAAATATTAAGTTCCCAATTGCTTCACCATCGTTACAACAGCTGTGGTCTCCAATGATGGTGCCACACATGAAGGCTCAACCCAAGATCCATTGTTGCACAGTGTTCATCCTGGCTGGGGCAATGAAGACAAGTATCTCACAGCTACCTCTAGGGATGATGGGCTACCTGGAATCATTCCTCTAAGTGAAACTGAACATAAAAATGAATCTTCTCATACAGGTACCAGTAAGAATAATAAATTATAGTCTTGTTACTTCTTTTTTGGATGAGATCGTTTTAATTGTTATTTCACCATTTATAATATGCTAAAAGTCTATTGATAACTCTTAATAAGTTGTGGCATGTTGTTGTACCTGATTACAGGAAATCAGCTAATCAAAAATTTCTGTAATACTGTGAAATTATTTTTTGTTTTAGTTTATTCTTGACTTGTTTCTTTTTGTGTTAAGAGTTTCCTCTTTGTGTTGTTGGATTGGTACATAATGAGCTTACATGAGGGCTATTCTTGTCTCCTTAGGTAATGCTAGGTGTTCTAATAATCATTCTTCTTAGCACTCTATCATTTTGCAAGTTGTACAGCTTGGTTATGCCAAGCGCTCTCATTTTTGATCTTGCATTCCTGTTAACCTTTAGATTATCATCTCTGAGTTTATATTCTGGTGCGCTTGTAATTGTGGGATATAAATCTGGTGCGGTGATGGTGTTTTTGGTGAGATTTTCTGTTGGCTTGCTCCTGTGGCTCACCAGTAACCTCTTTATAGAAGAGCACTGTCTAGAGGATCAGGGACAGGATTTTACAAAATAATTGCAATATCATAAATGCTCCATGCCATTCCATCAGACCTTCTTATGTTGCATGCGTCTTTTATGTCACTGAAGCCTGTTCTAAGCAGTATCACTTAAGGACAAGAACATAAAAGAAATTAGTGAAATTTCTAAAGAAAAAATAATTGCCATATTTATTGGACATAGTTCCAGTGCTCAGCATCTGTAATCACTCCCGATCACTCCTGGCTGCTTCTTGCTCTTGGGTTTGTTTTTTTTTTTGGGTTGTATTTTTTTGGTGGTCTTGCTTCTGTGTCCATTGTCACTGAGACTCTTCTAAATTAAATCATAACCCTGAGGAACAGCAAGAGGGTGTCAGTTAAAAAGTTGAGAAACCAGTGACAATGTGAAAGAAAGCAGAATACCTTCTCTTCTTATGCTCTTCTTATGCTCTAAACACAATAAAAATGTAAAAGATCAAGGCCTGTTGTAGAGGAAAATAATGGTGGTGGTTCTACAAATATTAAGTTTAAAATTGATTCAAGCATCATTATAACAGCAGTGGTCTCCAATGATGGTATCAAACATGAAGACTCAACTAAAGATCCACTGGCACCGAGCATTCAACCTGGAGGGGATAATGAAGACAAATATCCCACAAACAATCCCATTGATAATTTGATACCTGGAGTTTTTTCTGACATTGAAAGTGGACATGGCAGAGGACCAGCTTCTACAGCCACCAGTAAGAACAATGAATTACAATAATTGTATCTTATCCTTCACCCCTTTTTTAATGTCTCTGGATATAAAGGTAAATTTGTAAAGTATTGGGGGACATGTTATGATCCAAAAGTTTTTTCTTTTAATTGGAGTTTTGAAAGCTAGAAAATAGCCTCCTACCAATGTGCATGAAAGAGAAAGTGTTTTAATTGTTTTAATTTAAGTGTTTTAATTTAATTAACTATGTGGAGTGGGATGATTTAACTCTAGTGTTTCCAGCAATCTTTCTTCTCAGAGAAGATGAGTAGCATTTCTTCTTTTCACCAACTCTGGGGAACCTCTCTAGAACATCAGAGAAATAAATGCATAAGAAAACATCTGATTGCAATTGCTAGTGTTCCATTGTCAAGCTGTGGAGATAGTATTTTCTATACTAAAGACTCAAACCACAGAACATTTTGTTCCATCTTTCTGATCATTTTATTTATTTTATTCTCTGTCATCCAACGGCAGTTATTTTGAATGCTAGCAAAGTAACACTTAGTCCAGCCAGCCCTCACCCCACCCTCCTGATATTATGGACATGTACCATGGAAGATAATTTCCAGTATGGCTTCCACCCTCCCCAGTAATTTTTGCTGTTAAGTAACCCATCAGTGATTATTGACATCTACGGGTGCTAGGAAGCAACAGGCTTTTCATTTCTCAGCTGCTTCAGTTTTAAAAGCTTGTTTCTGATAGAGCTAGTTTGCATAAAGAAATAACATGCACTGATCACAGTGTGAATTTTGTTGTTCCATGTTGCAACATGCAAGTAATTATTTTTGAAAATTAAGAGGCTTTCCTTGTGCCCAAATGTACTTTTCATTTAAATTATCAACCCAGAGGCTAAGGTTTTCCTAAATGGTACACCTTCTTATTCATGCTGCATCAAATTACCTGCTGGTATAACTCCATAGAAGTCAATACAGACATGCCAGCAGAGACTCTGTCCAACAATCTACAGCCATTTGTTGCACACAACCAAGAATATGAACTTGTATTAATACCACATCTGTCATCAAAGTATTTTAGAAGAGAGTCATGAAACATTAATAGTTTAAAAGAGTTAGAATTTGCATCAAATGAACTCTTTAATTTGATTTTGAAAGGAGCTTTGAATATGAAAAATGAGTTGGTTCTATAGTGGAGACACACTGATTTGGTTTCTATAGTTTCTGGACTCTAGCTGGGTTATATTAAAGGTTCTGGATGTTACTCTCGTCTCACACCAGTTTTACACTGGCATAATTCCATTGGCTTTGGTGGAGGCAGTGTTATTTACATTGGTTTAAGTGAGATCAGAACCCAGCCCTCATCTTTTCAGATCTTAATGAACAACATGATACAAACTCAGCAAAATAAACCAGATCAAAAAACTGCCTTTAGAGGCCAAATTTTGTACAGTCTAGATGCCTCAAGTATTATAAATTTAACAAATATCTTTTGAAAACTGCTATTTTATTTTTCTATTCGTAATATTTAAATGTGTAACTTGCAAAGGAGAACTCATGTGTCCTGACTTCCAGTCCCCCATTTTATTAGGCCGTCTCCCTAATTTACTGTGTGTACATTCGACGCTGTGTAGAAGGGTTTGGTTCCTTTCCTTTTTTGAATATGTAAAATCTGACAGAGCTGGTGCTGAGGTGACTTTCTGGGATCATCTGCTTAGATTCTTAGCAGAATCAAAGATGTGACGTTAACGGAGCAACGGAGTTCATGAGACCCAAATTTTCCCAACATTTTTCCGGCATGGCATGCTGTGTGTCTGTTTCTTTTAGTGCTGTGGCATCATAGCAAAGCAGAGCGAATGCTAGGTCACAACTCTACCACAGTGGAAAATGTGTGCACACATTGAGGGAGGGAAGGAAGGTCTTTTTTTCATAAGATGGGCCCTGCGAAGCATGAATGGGATGACAAAGAAAGTTCACTTCACGTGTTAATAGAACATATTTAAAGGCTCATTCTGAAGAAATTCTTTGTTCAGTCTGCTATGCCTCATGTTTTGACTTGCTTTCCCTCTATAGTCATGTTCAGCTGTGGTCTGACATCATACATATGACTGATCTTTTGCCCAAAAGCCACAGTGGGATAGTGAAACCATGCACTGAAGAAATCCAACTACATATTTGATTCTTCACAAAGAAAGAATGTGGTTAAGAAGTCATAAGGTGAACCTCACAGAGGTCCCTAGAGCCCCTGTCTGTCTACTTACTGCAAGTGTCTCCTATGGAGTGGATAATCTGGGCCTGTGATGTTAAGTTGCATAGTTGAATCCTAGATATTGTGAATATTTCTGTGGTGTTGATAATATAGTTCTAGACAGCTAAAATCTTTAGTTACTATCTGGGCTTTATTGCTAAACAAAAGTTAGCTGTTTAGTTCAAAGGGGTTGGAGTATCATGCTAGGGCCCCTGATCAGGTAACTATGTCTCTTGAAGTCTGTGGGTACACAATCCACCATAATAGTCTAACCATCTTTGTCTGTTTTCTTGGAGATCAGGTCAGCTCTCCCAGTTGCTAAATTCAGTGCTCAGTTCTTGGTGCTGAGCTATGAATTTCCCATGAGATAGCATGAAGTAGCCCATCAGACATAAGTAAAAACATCTGGATGTTTCACGAAGAGCCTGTTAACAGCAAGAAAAAAATGTGCTTCTTAGCTCTGTGTTTGCCAGCTATTATTAGGAAATGAGGTCAGAGATTCTGGCCAGAGAGGAGTCATGAAGTGCCTTGAAGGTGAGGGAAAGTTTAAACAGGACAAGGGAGAATCTATGAGGCATTCAAAGGGTTTATAGGTGTATGTGGCGGGGTGGCTTGACTGGAAATTGGCACCAATGTGGGGATAGAGATGGCCAAGATGTTACCATACTCAAGAATTAAGTTGATCGGTGCATGGCCCAGCAAATGTTATTTTATGAGAAATAGGTCAGAGTGGGGGTATATGGTTGAATTGCAGACCTAATCCAACTTCACAACTCAATGTCAAGACAACTTGTCTTCCAGAGGGCTTCACTTCTGGAACATGAAAATTCTGAGAACTGTATCCATATTGATACCTAAACAGAGTCCCTAGGGTCTAGAAGGACCATTCATAAAACCAACACCAACCGACACGGTGATGTCGTGGTTCAGCACGAAAGAGATACCTGCTCCAAGCTTAGCCCACTGGACCTATCTCTATAGTGTGATCAGTTGATGTCAATATAGCAATGTTTGTGACCTTACAGATTGATTTGGCTAACCCATACCAATGTAAAATCCACATGTAGCATGGATTATAAACTTACTCTGGTCAGTAAATTGCTGTGTGGCTGACTCCACTTGATTCATGAAATCATGGAATCACTTGGGTCCTAGTACATCCAGTTCTTCTTTTGCTCCCCAGACAGAAGGCTTTGAGAATGCTGAGAGGACCGCGTGCTTGGCCTGATTGGAGAGAGTACCTAACACCTTGTCCAACAGCATATCAACTGGTTGTTTAAGGGCAGAGTCCCATCCAATATAAGGCCAGAAAATAGTTGTAGCTGCATGATGGTGATAAAAAGACAAAGGGATCTATCTGCACGTGGCAGAAGACAATCCTTTCATTAGAAACAACATTCTGATGTTTGAGACCTCTTCATGATAGTAGCTATCAGATTTAGAGCTGGCCAGTAAATGACAATTCTGTTTCATGAACATTTGAGGTTTTCAAATGTGTTTTTGTTGCATATTGGAATGAAAACAAAACCTTTAGAAAGTTTTCATGGAACAGATTTGTGTTGAAACCTCCATTTTTGGATCAAAAAGTTCAGGATTTCAATTTCTCTCTGTCTCTGTCTCTCTCTCTCTCTCTCTCCTTCCTGGACCTCAGAAACCTTACTGTCAGAAATTTCATCAAAATCAATACATTTCTGCAAAACATTTTTATGTCAATGAAACAGCATTTTTTCCGTGGAAATTTCCTGACCAGCTTCATATTTTAACCCATGAAACAGTAGCATGATGAAAAGTGAAAACCGCCCAAAAACAACAACATGCTATTGTTGAGAAAAATGAATCATATTATTCAAGATAATGAGGCCAGCCCTAGTTATACTGATTATGAACGTATTTTGATGAGCTGTGGGCTGTGCAATGTTTTTCTATGCTACTTTAGTCTGAGATTTTGCAGGGTAAACTCTTTGTTTCTGGACTCAAGGTGAACTTTGTAGTCATATCATCCTTTTAATTGTGAAAGGGCAAGTCTGTAGTGTATAGCTTCCTGTTAAGTATCCTCTAGGCTTGTTGGTCATAATGGATGTTTTTGTTGTCTAGGTTCTATAACTAACAAACACGGTGGCAGAAGAGCAAATCCATCTGGACAGGTCACATCACCAAAAATAGCTTCACAGCCGAGATCAGCCCAAATACCAGGTTGGTATCTGAAGCGATTGCCTTTGGCAGGCTGATCACAGAATTAAAGAAATGGAAATGAAGAGGTTATTATGGGAGATCATAGCTAATCCACACTCCTGTCAATGCATTCAGTTCGTCAGCTCTGAAGCAAAATATTCAGGACAGCTGGAAAGGTGAAAATAGAGATCTAGAGCACTGGGAGGTTCTGCATATGCCACAGATGCTTTTTCTAATGTATTGTCTACAATGTGTATGATTATGTGTTAGAAAGATATCATACCAGATTCTACTCCCATTGTATCATGCCTAACACAATATCAATGGAAGTGATCCCATAAAAGTAGCTTCACTGCTGGGCCTAATTTTGATCTCACTTACATCTCCATTGATGGAGTGGATTTACTCTCAATTTACACTGGGGTAAATGGATTCAGAATAAGGCTCAGAATTTACAGTCAATGTCAGGTTCTCATGTACTAGCTCTATGATGCAATGTTTGGATTGTAAACAGTGTAGGGGAATTTATTTACTGGAAACAAACAAACAAACAAAAAAGCCAAAATATGCTGTTTCCATATTTCCATATTGCTGCTGGTATGATCCATTTTTTCTGAAACCAAAAACGGAGGGCAAAGTTTAGGATCTCACTTTAAATGGCAAAATGAAGAAAAGTGTAGACCCTCCACTCTGCTTTTAAGTCATCTCTGCATATTGTTTCAGATATCTCAAAACCAGGCCCCTCTCTCCCACTGAAGAAGTAAACAACTAATGTAAATCCTTTCCCTCGCTATAGGCCCAATCACTGTCTCACAGTATAGAGTTTCCAGATGTTAACAGTCAGCGATAGTTTCATTTAATTTGACATGCGCATAATTAAATGTATTTCTCATTCACATGCTCGGTAACTATCAGTAATATCTTAGCACAGTATTACTTGCACTCTTGTGTTAGTACCGTATTATATTTACATCCTTGCATATTCGAAAAAACCCTGACAATAACAGGAGAGGTGTATTGTAAACGAATGCAAAAGTGTCCAAGTTCCTGCTATTGTGTCAAATTGCAAATTAGAATAGAAGATAAATTATTTCCCAATTCCACCCACAGAATGGTTGATCATAGTGGCTTCTCTTCTGGCACTGACATTGATTCTGGCAGTCTGCATTGCTGTCAACAGTCGGAGAAGGTAAGGAAGCCCATTTCTAGCTTTGGTTAGAGGAGGTCATTGTTGGAGAGCATGCTGCCTTGCTGTCTTTATTGTTGGGACATCTGTGAAGCTTCTGGTAGCTTTGGAAAAGTACAGAGAAGAGTTTCTGCCAAAATGGCAATCTCTGTGAACAGCACACCTCTTCTTTTGTAATAAACAGTAGTTATTAGACATTGCTGAAGTTTGAGGCTCTGGTCCTGAGCACTGTGAAGTGAACCCTTGCACTTAGGTGGAGCCCTATTGAAATCAGTGGGTCATTATTGTTCATTTTCACAGTGACAAAAACTGAACTTATGCATGGCAGAGTAAGGGAATAATTTCTCTCTGTGTCTTACATACTAATGGCCTGATCCTGCTTCTTCTGAAGTTAATGAAAGTTAATAATATGCTAGATGGATGTGAACAGAAGCATGTACAGTAAATAACAAGCTGGTCCCCAGGTTAACTAAATATAAGCTGATGATGTGCATTGTATAGGCCACAAGAGTACAGTTACGCTGTGTGATAAGCTGTATACACCCCATCCAGAGGACTGTAGAGACAGGATTCACCTGCTCCCACTAGCTAAAGGAAGGGTCACAGCTGCCAATCCTGATTGCAGGAGTTTGCCGTGAGCCTGGCTGGATCAGCTGCAGAGAATCAATTCCCTAGGCCCTCCAGCAGACTATAAAGGGGTTCTGCTGTGGGGAATTTGAAGCTGGTGCTGAAGGAAAGGTTCTTTAGTTAGAAAGCTGGAACTGGGAGAAGAATTGAATGGGAGGAGGGAGAAGGAGGTCCTTTGGATCTTGGCTGACATGAGCCACGGTTTTGACCTTTGTTTTAGGAGTGGTTGAGGGAAACCCTGTAGAAAGCAAAGGGTCTAATAATTTAGGAGAAATCTTTTAAGTATTCAGAATATTCCTTGGCAGTGTCAAGTTCACTACTTTTCTTCCTTGTTCTTTTAGCTTATACTGTCATTTCTACAGCACCTTCCATATGAGGATCTCAGAATGCTTTTACAAACATTAGTGAAAATATCCTCACAACACCACTGTGAGATAGATAAATGCTATTTGCCCCCATTTTACAGATGGGGAAACTGGGGCACAGAAAGGTGACATGACTTACCCAAGTTTAACCAGGAAGTCTGTGGAAACCAGGTCTCCCTATTCTAAGTGCTAAACACAAGACTGTCTTTCTTATCTTAGTAAACCACAGAACAGTTACTAATATTTGTTAGTAACAAATTGCGACTTTTATTTTAAACCTGAACTTTTCATCAGTGCAAATATTCCCATACACTTTTGTCATAGTACACAGTGAGCTAAATTAGTTCCTAGTTTACACTGGCCCTCCTCGAAAGCACTGATTACCTCGCCTCTGGGGCCTGTATGCCCAAGAAAGTGAGTGATGCTTAATAGGGAGGAGATATAGCCAGATTGGCCATTGAAATGTGATCTCCACTAGCAGGATACCATAGTGTAAATTAAAGCTGGAGGGAGGGAACCTTTGGTTAGATCCTGCACCAGACTAAAGCAGGCTTATGTGAGGCAGGGAAGTACAAATTGGGTGAACTCAGATTGTGATTTGAGGGTCAGGTCCTCAGCTGGTGTAAAATGATATAGTTCTGTTCAAGTCAACAGAGGTGGTGCCGATTTACACCAGTTGAGGTTATGGTCCTATGACTATATCCACATTAAATGTGCTCCTTGGATAGTTTAGAGTAGCAATTTCTCTAGACTATGTCACATGGTAAAACACACAAGAATCTACAACCTCCCTCTTGTTAGTTGATCTAGAAATTATAGTGTGAATGTTATGGTTTATTGATTTGTGTCACTCTGCTATGTCTACAAAGCTGAGACTGCCTTCTCCCCTCCTCGCCCCCCCCCCCCCGCAAATCACCATAGAAACAGACAGGTCCATCCATGATCGAATACAGATTGTTTGTTTCATTTCTGGACAGATTCTATCAGAAAGCTATAAATTATGAACTACTTTTTTTATTAAAAACATATTTTAACTATGAAATTCAGGGACTTAAATGATATGTACAGCATAACACTAGGTGGGTACACACGCACACAGCCCCCTGCTAATTTGTACTGACTGGGAGGAAAATTTTGTGAAATAGAAAGTAGGGGTCTGCTCCAACACACATTGAAGTGAAGGGGAATCTTTCCATTGACTTTAAGGGACACTGGATCAGGCCTTACGTTAATAAATACAGGGTTTTAAAAAAGAAAAAGAAAAAAAAAACCATGGGTAACTTTTTGCTCATCTATTTGACAAGTGTAAATTAGTTTTAATTACTTAGTCATTTATACTACCTGATAAGTATACTGTAGACTATTTTCCAAAAATTATAAGTCTTAGAAATATGAAAATAGTAATTTATGATCTCACAATAGCAACTTTGTTGTGAGATCTTTGCTGAAAAGCAGGATGAGGTAAACTGAGGGTTTCGTGACTGGGTTGTTAGAGAGTTAGAAAGTAGATTTTGGAAGGCTTTCACACATATATTTTTAAATGACCAGCTAAATTATGATGTGTTTCCAATACTTAATTGAACTTTTAACCAACCAATCACATATATTTTCAGTCTCCTCCTCATACACACTGGTCAGGATGGGCCCAGGAAGTATATATTGTAATGCTTCAGAATCCAATTTTCACAAGAAATCTTTGACTTGCCTAAAGCACCGAAATGTTTGATTCATTGCTCAAGAGATTGAGCCTCTCTAGTTGGGAGGTTTATGTGACACAGAATGTCTTAGAAATTCTAACCAAAGAAGTAGATCATTTTGGCGAATAGGGAATAGCTTGATCTTATTTAAATTTTCCTTTTTTCACAATTCCTACCTGGGTTATATTTTGAAACAGTGTGACCCAAGGCCCAGCATGGCCCAACAAAATGAATGAATATTTTATGTAAAGAATCCACCTTTCTAGTCCGAATAACCCCTCCACAATATTCATGGATTGTGGAGGGTCCTTCCCTCCACAATCCATGATGGGATGCAGCACAGTTTAGATATCATTTTGGAAAGAAATTATGCTCTGCCTTACATCCCATGGAATCCCATTACTGTGTACTATTTTCTGTATTGGTGTTGTGTGGGTGTAATTCAGGGCTGAATTTGCTCACATGTGTTGCATAAAGTAAACATAGTGAAACTGAGACAAGGCGGATCTGCTCTCTGTCACCTTGGCTAAAACAGCTGTCGTATGTCTGTCTGGCAAAAATATATATATATACTTGATTCAAACTAAAGATGGAGAAATAATTTAACTGCCAAATTAGTAGTTCAAATGGAATTCACTTAGCCAAAGCAGGAAGCATTTTAAAAGATGTTTGCAGAAACATTGTAGTTGTTTTCAAAGAATAGTGCTGCGTGTGTATGTCTTTAATTAATTATATTTAGCTGTGCACATCTTATACTTAACTGTGCATCATAACCAGAAAGCCAGTTTAACCAGCTCCATGAGATATCCCTGAATGGTATAGAACCAGCACAGCTCGCTTCTATGCCACTCCTCCTACAGCATAACACAGGGGTGTGTTGGGGGAAGCAGTGACTGTTCCCACCCTCTTTTTCCAGAGTTCTGATGCATTATAATGAATGTCAGCTGACATATCAACCCCTTGGGGCCATAGTCTGCAGGTATAGTTTGTAGCTGTACTACGGCTGCTCAGAACTACATGAGGGATTGGTCAGCATAGAACCAGTCCCAGGATCAGAAAGCCTCAGATGACTTACTTGTGACCTCACCCGTAGCTGCATCCAGGATGCAGCTAAGAATCTGAGGCATAATCTCTAAGCCCAGTCTTTATTTTCCATCCTCAATATAGCCTTTAACAAGCTAAACTGTTGATGATAGCATTGTGACCCCTTCCATAGCATGGTCAGTCCAGACACACGAAAAAGAGAACAGAAGAGAAAAAATGATCCTCTGAGATAACTGTAGATAGGTTGGAACCCTGGATTGAAATATTACCAGTTCCAAATGTTGAACCTTCAGACCTAGTTCTAAAAATAATTGAGCAATATATGAAGGAAGGGATTGTCAAAAGAACTGTGTTCCCACTTAAGTCAATGGGAGCAGAATAAGGGCAGTGGTGGATACTTTTGGATATCCCACCTGAAAAACTTAATATATCCATTAAAGACAAAAGCTTTATGTATTATATTTTAGCTTTTCTCCGTTGACAGACTCAAGTTTTATTTCCTTTGCCCCCTTTCTAGAAAATCTACTCTGTATGTTGTGCTTCCCAGTTCCATAATCTCCATTTGTGTTGCTTATTTTTTCTAGATGTGGGCAGAAGAAAAAGCTAGTGATTAACAATGGCAAAGGGTCAGTGTCAGACAAGAAGATGGGTGGACTGAATGGAGAAGCCAGCAAATCTCAAGAAATGGTGCACTTGGTACATAAAGAACAGCCAGATAATCGAACAGGACCATGTGATGAATTCCTAACCACAGATGAAACGCAAAATCAGCAAGAAGCTAACATGAAGACTGGGATGTAGTAGTGTTGGGCCATCTTGTAGATCGAGAGTTGGGGAAATCAAAATCACATGGAACTGGGCCTGGAACTCACAGATGCAATGTGCTACTGATGTCTTTTGAGCATAATTAAGCGTACATTTTATTCTTCTTTTTAATATTTTTAAAAGTCAGGTCCAGATTTTTAAAAATTGACATTGCTTTCTGATATAAGTGCCTGAGACTTGCATAAATTTGGCAGTTCCCATTTCCTACCTAGAAGACACTTATATGTAAGGAGGGATGCTAGCTGAAATAATATTTTCCCCAGTTGCAGCACCTTCACTAAGTGAAAATACAGAAATATCTAGTCACTCCATCTCAAAGGCATTTATGGTAATAAATGTCTAGAGAAAAATAGAGTTAAAGAAAAAAAGGGCTTTGGTAGAGTCTGTATTACACCAGAATCTTTTAAAATCACCTTCCAGCCCTGAGGAGTTTGTCAGGTGCATTCAGGATCTGCAGGTATAGGCAAACTGTGACATTTTAGAATGATTACAACTAGGGTTACAATGAGAAACCCCAAAAGGACAAAACTATTTATCTCTGTTTTTTTAAATGCCCATGGATATATAATGCCAATAATTTTTATTGGAGTGAGTGGGAAAAGACACGAAAACTTGAGCTGATACATAATGAATGTCTGTTCTTTATTATCTTAACAATCTGTGCAGTTATCCTTCAGTTTCAAAACTGTCTGTTGCTGTTCCCCGATCAATCATATTTTGAGTAAGTTCCCTAGTGAACCTTGTTAGTTAAGTTGACAAATAAATGCAGTGACCACAACTCAAACACATATTTCAAAACCTAGCAGTAGGAAATGATCAAACAAGATGGCAATATTTTGTTTCTTACAGAATAGGGCTCTATCTATCCCTGCTCTCAGATATTATCGTAAGATGTTGAGCTTAGCACAACCTGTTTTTCCCCATACTTGTTGCATGTTACATTATCTTGCTGATATTTTAACAGTCAAATTAAAATTATGTGATGTTCTCTTTTGGATTCCATTTCATCCATCTTTTTGTTTAATCTCTGCTTCTTAAAAATGCCAAGAGAAATGTTGTTCACTTGTTGAAACAAGAAGTTGGAAAACTATATAAAGATCAAAGAAAACTATTCAAACAACATAAAATAGCTGCAGCTGCATTGCCTCATGTTTCCCTCCCCTTTGTACACCCCATTTATGTAAAGTATCTGTGTAAACTAAGATGGCGTGCAGTAAGGTACACTGAATTGATTGTACATATTATCAGCAAGAAATTGAATTACCAGCAATAGTCTATCCAACTTCACTTTAAGGAAAAATCTAAGTAAAAACAATTCATTATGTAATTATGATCAATGAGGACCCTATGCACCAGGGGATGGGAATTGTTAAATGGTTAGTCAGTTAAGCAAAATAGTCCCATTCACTGACCATGGATCCTTAATGAACTGAGACGAGCCCGCTAAAGTCATTTATTTTAATTCATTTTTAAAGAAACTTCAGCAGTTAAAATTTCAGCTAGAATTGTCTAATATTTTGCTTTATTCATACCACTATGCATGAGATTGCTGAGGTTGTGTTTCTCAATGTAGATCTTTAGCAGCTCACCGTAAGTGTTTGTTTTAATGACATACTGTAACATGGTAAGTTTTCTCAGGCAGATTGACATTGATGAAATTCACCCTTGTGCAAGAGGGCCAGCAAAGCGTGACTTATTTTGACTGCTTAAGTGGCATATGTGCTGGCCCACTGAACAGGGATGTTTCACACATAGAAAGTCACACGTTCGTGGGCTGAATATGATCATACGCTTTGAAGTCAATGGAGTTATACCTGTTTACATCATCAGTAAATATGGTCCAATGTCAACATTCTCATCCTGTCATGAACATACATAACTCAGTTATGCTGTGGGAGATCTGTTTCCTTCAGGCATTTTTCATTCCTGAAGTAGTTTTTGACAATGTTTTCCATCAGCCATTGTAAATCAGAATGGTTGGTCTCTTGAAGGATGCATTGAAATGGGCACTGTGCATAAAATTTGATCAAAGCAGAGGTTCAGAACAAGGCCTCTTCACCTCTTGAGTCCTAGCTGAACATAGGGTCTCTGAAAAGACCTCTTTAAGTACAGGCTTTGGCATGTTACACATTAGAATTCTTACTCTAAACAGGAGTATACCTATTCAGATATTTAATCGGGAAATCTGCCATCTCCTTCCCAGATTACTCAATTTCAGTATCTAGTATGGCAAGGATATCATGACTTGACTTCTTTGGAGGGGTTTTTGGTTTTGGTTTTGGTTTTTGATAGGGTGGCATGCAATCTCTCCTACAGAAGCCGTGCCATTATTTTATATCTGCAAAAGTGATTCTATATTAGATGCCATGTGCCACATGTGTAATTAATTTGCATTATAGTTTCATGCATATAACAATCGTTTGTACTGAGGTGGGGTTTTATTGTTTGGGGACTTTGTTTATTACAGAGCACCCTTGGTATATTTGTATATTTATTAACAGATTAATTAGAAGGAAGAAAGAATCATCTCTAAATTGTAACCAGAAACCTGGGGGGAAAAGTAAATTGTAAATTGAGCTTCCAAAAATAAATTTAATTCTAAATTAAGGGAAAAGATAAGACTGGTATTATTATTAGCTAGGGTTTTTTTTTGTTTTTTGCTTTGTCCCAATGAGCCACAGATCTATTTACCTGGTTGTAAACACTAGGCTACACCCAGCAGAAACTCAATGTACTCTTGCATGCTTTACTAACATTGTGTGTGCGGTTTCCAAGCATTCATTCGTCTGGGGGAAAAAAGTCAGCTTGGCAGTTTGAAATGGGTGGTTTGGCTTCTCTAGAAATTGGATGATGAGTCTAATTCTCATCTCACCTAGAGCTGAATCCTGTAAGATACTGACCTCCCATTGAAGTCAGTGGCAATTGAGGGGGCTCAGCACCTAATGGAATCAAGCCCTTACATCTTTGTCTCACCAGTGAAATTCCAGTAACTTAGACAGATTTGGTGTGTGCATGGACCTGATATTTTTTGCTGGCTCTACTTAATTTTCCAGTGGGACAGGTTTAACTCAGAAAAAGCAAGGGTAGGGCAGCCTTGTAAGCAGCATATGGTGTTAAATTACCTCAGACAATGCTGAAAATAAGAAATATAGCCAATACTTGAATTTACATGAAAATATCTAAAGCACCGAGTGTATTAAGAGTAAGACGTGGCTGTAATCTCTCTCTTTCTGATCAATGACTTCACCCCTGTTTTCTGGATGATTTATAAAGAATGGTTTATTGAAGCAGAGAAGTGAGAAGGGTTACATTATGTTAAAAAGCTTTATGGCAAGAGAGTGTTTTAATATTTTCCACAAAGTCAGTGGGAATTGGAATTCCAGTATGATATTTCTATGGTTTTTTCTGGCATCTCAGGGATGTTCTGTGTGTGTAATTTGACAGTAACACGAACCTACCCCTGTATTAAGTAGTTTGGAAGGATTTAGCATGCTGATGGAGACTTCCAAGGAGATCATTACCAGGGACCTGATTACTAGAGAGTAATGGAGCTGTGCAAGACAGAGTCTTGCCCCTTGGTTAGGGGAGTGCCTAATTATCCTTTCTATGGCTCCAGGAAAGTACCTATTTCCCTCTCAGAATTAGCTGTTGGACCCAGGAGACTTAGGACTTGTCTACACTTACTGGGGATCAATGCTGTGGTGTTCATAGTGAAGACCTGTTAAATCGACCACAGATCGCTCTCCCATTGATGCCAGTACTCCATTGGAAGAAGAAGAGTAAGGGGATGCTCTCCCGTCCACATAGTGTAGTGTGGACCCAGCGGTATCTAAAGCTTTGTCGACTTGAGTTACTCTACTAACATAACTCAAATTGCGTAGCTTAGATCGTCTTTCCCCCATAGTGTAGACAGCCTCAAAGAACTTAATTGAGCCAGCGGTTGTGGGGACTATTTTGATTTAGATTGGCTTCTTGGAGGAAGTTATTCAATATTGCAGCCAAAAGCTTTTACTTCATCTTAGTAAGCTACTCATCGCTCCTACTACTCTAGTTGAAGGCGATTAGATTGAATTAGATTTGATACTTTATATTTATCTAAATATAGACACAGGAGATAGATCTGGATATTGATTAGCTTTCTGATGTAGGGAAGAAGATGTTGAAACCTGAAGTTGCCCGGGGTGAAATCATGCCTCCATTGAAGTCAGTGACAAGTCTCCCATTCACTTTAATGGAGTAAGGTGTTTTGGGGAACAGAGCTTAACATGATGAGGATGGGAGAGAGAATGCTTTAGGCAGCAAGAAGTTTGTGAGAGAGTTAAGAGAAGGGGTGCAGTGAGAGTAAAATCTCTGTGTTACTCACTAGGAAAGTCCCTTCCCCAGAACTGGTACTTAGCATCTGACATTTGAACATGTTGTAATTGTAGGCAAAAAAACCTGAACTGATCTTTCCCAATGAGCTTTCCTCCCACTGTTTGTAAGCTGAATGTGAGATCTCTCCCACTCACAACTCATCTAGTTATTACTATGCCAGGTGGCAAGTAGTACATACCCAGTGCACATGTCTGCTGTTAAGAACTGCTTTCCCTACTGAAAGTAAAGAAAACCAGAGTGTGAATTTGGCAAAGAGGAACAATGATGCCCATTAAATATGGTTCAGATTATACTTTTGTCTTCATTATCTCTATTTAAAGCTATTGTTAAAGATGTACTTTCCCAGTGCTTAACACGAGGCTTCTGGAACTGTCCTATTGGCACCTATTATTATGTTTTTAAAGATTACGCAGGCTAAGCAGGTTTGTGGTTGTTGGTTTTTCCCTTTTCATGGAGGAATTATGGATTTTACCAGTTAACATGGAATGAAAATCCACTTTTGTATGCAGGTACATTGCTCGCTTTCAAGTCAGCTGTGAATATTGAATATTTTCCAGTACTGCGATTTTTGGAAAGTAGTGATGATAAAAAGTTGCTTTTTATCAAAAGTGTCCTCAGTCAGAGGTGGCCTTCTGTCCTCAAGAATGCTGATTGTTTTTTCAAGGGGAAAGGCAACTGAAGTCAATGAAGTTCTACTTTTGCCCTTACAGTCAGCGTGTGTTCCATGGTGACCTGGAGAATGTCTAACCAGTGGTATTTGCACTGCTTAAAGGGAAGTCACCATTTTATATTCTAACCTTTTCCCCTCTTTTCAAATTTTCTGTGGACAAGTGAATCCCTTTTATCTAATTTTGAACCCACTGGAATATGGAGGTTTGAAAGTTTGACTTAAAAATCACTGAGTTCTGCTTAGGGAAAAAGGAACAGAGAAGAAAATCCAATGATAAAATGAAAGTGAAAAATTGAAAACCAAAGGCAGAGAGACTGACATAATGAACGAAGAGGGGAATGAAAAAAAATTCTCATAAAAAGTAGACATAGTTTTAATGCCATATATAGGAACCTCATTGTGCCAGATTATATTTTTGGAAAGTTCCTCTATTCCTTATACATAGCACAGGCTTTCCTCTACCTAGGAAACAAATAGTTTCAAATAATTGCAGCATCTCTGGAAAACAGCATGTATTTTAACTTTCAGAGAAATAAGACTTGTGAATTAAAATAGGTTTTGAGTACCTTGTAAAGCTCAGTACAACTGTTTAAAAATTTCACAAAACTACCCTCCATAATGTTCACTAATCCCTATTTCTAGCTCAACCATAAAAATTTGTTCTGGACAGAAACTTGCTGAAAAGAAATCCAGAGACAATTAGAAGTTCTGCTTATTCCCCCACAAGCTTTTGAGAGGAAAATAATGTTTTAGCAATTTTAAGATAGAATTGTGAAGTTAAAAACCATATATATTTTTGTACGTATTTTAGCAGTTTGTTTCTTTTGGATTGCTCAAAATAAAATGTATTATTTCTTCCAGTAAAAAGGCCAAATTCTGATCTCGTTTAGGCCTTGATTCAGGAAGGTATGTAAACATTTGCTTAGCTTTAAGTGAAGAGATTTAAGCAGATTCTGAAAAAAATAGTTCACATTGAGCTTAGTTGTGGAACTGGACAGGTGTGTATGAACTGGGGATGGAATGAGGCATCTAATTTCTTCCTTACTTGGTTCACCTATCGCTAACGCTGCCGTAAAGAAGGAACTAAGCTCCCCTGCCCTGTGTAGCTTTAAGGGTCTAAGGTAAAATAAGATTACAATACCAGGCATGTTCAGAGTTCATGCTGAAATAATGGACCATGGAATAACAACTTGATAAAATTGATCTATTATCATTTATTCACTCTCTATACACCAGAAATGAGAGCCTGGTTCTAGCTCTGGTTCCTTTATACCAAGTAAAGGGCCAGTGTGTTGTAAAGGGGACCTAAAAGCCCTGGTTCTGTCTAGGAAGAATTTGTCTGGTGCAGAAACTGAGACAGACAGCCGTAAGGCTGCCCACGGGTGGCCCTCTTGTAAGTCCTGGCATAGGGAGCATAGTGGAGTGGGTTTGGAGGCAGGAGAGGTGTATTGGGAGTACAGATTGCAGACATGGGAGGGTGCCAAAAGTTAGACAGGCCTCTAGGGCTAAATTATGTTTGGGGGGGCCCCTCCAGCCCTCAGAGCAGCTCAGGACCAGGATGGTGCGAAGTTCACTTTAAGCCATCTTAGCTTCACTTCCCCCTGGGTTGTGAATTCTGTGCTGCTCCTCTTAGAATCTCTCTCCAGGACACCAGTTTAGTAGTAGGTTCCAACTTCCATACATACCAGAGCACAAGCAAGTTGGGATAAGGATAGAGTTTCAGCTGAATTTTCTTGCATTTGTTGGTTTAATTGGAGCCATTGGCATTATTTTCTCACACGGTTTTCTTGGTGCTTTGTTTGTTTTCCTTCACTGGCTTAACCTAGAAAACACTTAGATCATTTTCAGTGACCCCATTTTCTCTGCAAGTAGGACAGTGAACGCAGGCTTCATGCCTTCTTTCTACCCAGAGCAGCCAGGGCTGAACTGAATACTTTTTACTCCTGTTCAAACCTTTAAACCTGGGGCTGTATTTACAGCTTTTGTCCACCTCTGGACAAACAGAAAGCACTTAGCTCTGGAATAGAAAGCACTTGGCTCAGGGCTGCTGTTTCAAGTTTCTGTCAGTGCCCTCACTGTGGATCCTGGGTGAAAAGTTTCCACTCCCAGTTTGTGGAATGTTTCTTCCCCACCCCCAATCCCAAGTTGACAGTGCTTGCCTTGGGTGGAAACAAGCCTCTACATCATGCCTTAGCTTCCTTCAGTGTCCCAAGTCAAAATGGTCCCAACAGACATTTGCTATGATTCCACAAATCCTGGGAGTGGGAGAGAAAATTCTTTTTTGCAAGTGCTCTGGGTTAGAACCCTAAATGATGAGAGCCTCACCACAAAACTCTAGAGCAATGGGGTGGTTTGTTTTCCTTTTCAGATCCACAAGAGATTCAATGTTTGGGCTTCAATCATGCAGTGATGCTTTGTGTACAAAACCTGTACTTGTCTGTTGTAGTTTGCAAATGTGGATGGTTTTTTATAATAAATGATCTGTTCTCAAATTATTAATTAAAATAAAAAGCTGGTTTTGTTTGACTGAATTGGCTCATCTTATTCACCAGAGGAAAAAGTGAAATTTGCAGCTAGAAGTCTGTTTCTTTTTCTCCTCTTTCCTTTTCTTCTTCTTTCTTTTGCGATTCGTTTGCTAATAACACATCTTCCATTAGCTCCAAAAAGTTGTGAATGAATTCTGTTTCATTTTTCTAAAAGCCAGTGATATAAACAGCAAAGTAGGTCAAAAATCACTTGTTCATAAGAGATTAAATTCACCTTTGTGCAGAGGGGCAATACAAGGCCTATGTTTCAGTTAGAATTTCTCTTATGTCCTGAAAATAGGGTGTAAATAGGATTTAATAATGGTAACACCACCTAGCTCTGATGAAGTGAGCTGTAGCTCACGAAAGCTCATGCTCAAATAAATTGGTTAGTCTCTAAGGTGCCACAAGTACTCCTTTTCTTTTTGCGAATACAGACTAACACGGCTGTTCCTCTGTAGCTCTGATATAGCACTTTTCATTTTTAGATTTCAAAGTGCTTGACAAAGGAGGTAAGTATCATTATCCCCATTTTACACCTGGAGAAACAGGCATAGGGAGGGAAGTGACTTGCCCAAGGTTACCTAGCAGGCCAGTGGCGAAGCCAAGAATTGACTAGGAGTCTCCCAAGTCCTAGTCAAATGCCCTGTCCACTAGACTATAGTGCCTTCTTTTGTGGTGGCCTTCTGTAAAGGGGTGAATTTCACCCATGAGACTATTAATCATTTCTCGCTCACAAGGAATATTGTCTTTGAGAAATAATGTAAGATGACAAAGGAGAGAATGAAAGAATTCAAATCACTCACAAAGGCCATGTGAGGCCCAGTCCTGCAGCCCTGACTCATGGGAGTAGGTTCTTAACCAAGTAATTATGGCCATGAGTAAGGATTATGAGCCAGATTTTCAAAGATATTTAAAAAGCCTAAATAGGGAGATAGGCACTTACTGGGATTTACAGAAGGACCTAAGTAGGTTAGGCACCTAACATCAATGATGCAGGTGCTTAACATGCTTAGGTGCTTTTGAATCATCAGGTGCCTGCCAGTGTCTTTAGACAGCTAAATACTTTTGAAATCTGGCCCTAAAGGACTAGGTTTGTGTTCCCTCTGGCTGAATATAGCTGAGGGTTGAGGGGAACGTTTTGACCTGAGTAAGCCAGCCCTTAATTTCCCTCTGCCCCAAATCCTGCAGCAATCAACACCACAACAGTTTAAAATCATTACACATTATTAAAGGCACTCCATATTCTACCCTTTGTGCACCTGAGCATCAGCCTCCTCCCTTCAGATCACAGCGGATGTTTTTCCAGAGGATGGAAGGGTGTAGGCAGGCAAGGAGAGCAGTGTATGTGTGATCCCTTTTCCATTTCAGAAGTAGTAACTGGCCTTACCTGCTTTTGAGCTAGTGACCAAGAAGTGAAAGGATAAAAGCTTACCAAGACATGGCTACTTTATGCACTTTCCAAATCCAGGAGAGTCAGTAAAATCACCTTCACAGATACTGTATTACAATACACAGAGATGTCAGTAGCCAAACAGTGTTATTCCCAGGTTAGGGCCATCATACCTGGAAGATAGCCATACCTGCCTATCATCCCAGTGATAAAGTGCCACATCTGGAAATTGATGGTAAATATATGACAACGGACACACTGGATTTAGGGGTATGAATAATACCTCATTTATGAAATGCTTTGTGTTCTAGTCCAGGATGCTGAAATTTTTGCAAACATGCTCGCCTGTCTATAGTATCACATGCAAATTCTGTCCCTTGGACTAGACTTAAATCATGAGAGCAAAATCAGTTTCTATATTTGTTTAATTGTTTTCCTTAGGATAGCTGTAGCCCTCTCAGACCCTCTTGGAGTTTGAAGAGGGATCTCACAGATGTACCCTTTTTACTATTCCTCTTCTCCTTTTCCTCCTAAACCTCATCAGCAATCTTCCCTTTGATGGAGGAGGGCTGGAGCATCGCTCCTTTCAGAGCTTGTCAGTACAGTTTCCTGTGGGCAGAATTCAGTGTTCTACTTTATCTGCCTGTACATGTATGTCACGTGCATTACTGCAATACCTGAGTGCCTTACAAAGATAACTACAACCACAAGATGCAGACTTGCACATAGTCTAGTTTCCTCCCTACTACTTCTAATTCAGATGAGACATTTAATTTCATTCTCTCCACATAATGGCAAAGCCTAATGCCTCTATAATTCTCTCAACTCCTGGTAGCCCAGAAAACTGTCACCTAAACTCAGATGTCCCACTTCATAACAGAATTACTTCAGCTCCTGAAGTGGGGCCTCAACCCTGATTGGGGCCTTTGGCTGCTGTTATAAATAAATATTAATAATACTACTAGGCCAGTATGAGTGACTACACTTGGATCTATTATAGCTGACTAATTCTGCCTTAGGTCTCATGGTCACATCAGTTTTAATATTTTTCCTAAAGGTGTATTAACTTTGGGTGCACCAGTTTCTTTCAGTATGATGATGACTTCTCTTCCTGTTTACACAGCATCTAGTGCAAAGTGCATGGTAAAAGGATGTACATAAGATCAGGGAGTTGCATGACATTCTCATTCTTTTCTGAGAACCTCCTCTTCACTATTATTTTCTTACATGCCCTCAGGGGATTGGGGGAAAAGGGATTAAAAAAACCCTCTTTTGTTGTTAGTAAATGATCCACAAGATACCCTTTTTTACTCTACTTCATACTTCACTCACCTGTTTCCCTGATAAAGAAGGAATCACTCCATAAACAATCAGTCATGTTGGAAAGGAATGCTCCTCTAAGACTGGGGATTTTGGGGGCTGGGTTGGAACTGTGAGTTTTCACCTGGAGCACTTAGCTAGGCATGTCCTCTGTTCTTTCTATATTTTTTCTTCTATGCTTCTAACATAACAAAGCTTTGGAATGTAATCAGTGTAGATCTTGTTACAGTTCCTTTGATCCAAAAGGATCCCAAAGTATGGTCCAAGCTTATCAAAGTGAGGTCCCAATATGGAGAAACCATCTCTGGGTTGGAGCATAAAAGGAGTGTAAAAGTGCACAAACACACCAGATTAGGCCAGAAAGTGAAGGAGAATCCTGAGTCCAACTAATCTCAAGAGGAATTTTAGGGGAGCAGAATGATTTGACACCCTTAATTCTTGTAAAAAGTGTTGTCAGGAGATATTTAATGACAGAGCGATCAGGACTTCTGTTTTAAGTTTTGTCCAAAAAATCCCCTTTGTCACCATATTGGGGTATTGAATCATGACTGACTCAGAGGAAAGCATGACAGCTATTTGACTGCCAACACCACTTTCTGCCATACCCTGGGTTTTCCTTAGCAGTCTCCCCCTTCGTAGCTTTGTAAGAGTTAATAAGATCACAGCCTGCAGGCTATTAAATCTCACAGATTAAAGGACTGATCATTTCATATGATAGAAATAATATAACTAACTGTAATTATTCCCAGAAAGAAAAGGAGGACTTGTGGCACCTTAGAGACTAACAAATTTTATGCTCAAATAACTTTGTTAGTCTCTAAGGTGCCACAAGTCCTCCTTTTCTTTTTGCGGATACAGACGGCTGCTACTCTGAAACCTGTCATTATTCCCACTTTGACTATAAAGATTTTAGCTTCCCCATCACACTTAGCAGCTGCAGCACCTGTGATAGTGAGTCATTCCATTGTCATCTTCTAATTATAACTCAGATATTAAAAAGAACAGAAGGACTTGTGGCACCTCAGAGACGAACAAATTTATTTGAGCATAAGCTTTTGTGAGCTACAGCTCACTTCACTGAATGCATCGGATGAAGTGAGCTGTAGCTCACGAAAGCTTATGCGCAAATAAATTGGTTAGTCTCTAAGGTGCCACAAGTACTCCTTTTCTTTTTGCGAATACAGACTAACACGGCTGCTACTCTGAAACCTGTCAGATATTAAACAGATTCCTCTGCAAAGAGCTCCAGAGGTTCAAAGGTACCTCTTATTTCAGCAAAACTAAAAAGGCAGGATTTAATTTTTAGTAGACAGCAGAAGGAGGTCAGGTTGCTAAAGCAACTGCATGTGTTCAGTGTTCTCCTTTATTTTGTAACAGGACTCTCAGGCTTCTCTAGAATTAGAATTTCAGTTTAAAAATATACATTGAAAATAGGACATAAAATATGCCACTGGGCTTCAAACCTCCCCGCCCCCACCAAGACATGTGTGTATCTTGGTATAACTCCACATTCTGCAGTGTGATATCAATAAAATAACACTCATGTTTCTTTACAGTTAATTACTATTTATGTACTACAAATACAGCTCTGGATTGATATTTCTGATGCTTAGACAAATACAGATCCAACCTCTACAGTTTAGAATAGAAAGCCAATCAGATCATTCAATTTTATTCAAATTCATATCCAAGAAATGGTAAATAGTTCAGTAAGGGAGTAGCAGCTAGCAGAGGTGACTAGCAATAAAAATTGATTGAGCACTCAAGTCACATGGCTTTTTTTCTGTGCCCTGCAACACACAGCAAGAAGGCCACAAAAGGATTCCTGGCACCAGGTGAGCACATTCGCACGAGCACACAACTTTCCACCAGTCAATCGTTTGTGCAAACAAAATATATCACTTGCATGAATGCTCCCTGAAACAACTCTAAAGGAGTCACGTCATTTCAAGCGATCATAGCTCTGGTGACAATTTTGTCTTAGGCCTTTCTATAGCTCCATGGCTGTGGTATAGAGACATTCAATTAAAAGAATAAAAATCACATTATTTTTTGCTCAAGGATTTTCAATGCTCCTGAGCCCTCCTAGATTTAGCAAACTGTAGTTGAATTGGGGGTTGTTTGTAGTGGCTGATCTCAGTCCACCGCCTACTAAACAGCTGCCCACATCATGAGAATCACCTTCATTATTAACATTAGCATCTTAACCACACCCCTTTGTTGGCCAAGCATTGGATTAAATGGGCATGGAGAGTGAAGTTCAACCATAAAGATGACGAGTCCAGAGC